TCTGGGCAGGCAAATTTACCAAATGAATGGAAAAGGCTTTTCTGCAGACATTCCTGGAAGGAAAAAAAGAATAGGAAAATTGTATTAGCATTGTGAAGAGAAATGTATCCTGAGCGTGAAATCAGAGCCAAGGAGAAGAGAATCAGGCTATCAGTAATGTGATCAGTGCTGAGATTTACCTGCTCAGTGTGAATAGCCCACGCAGAAAGACCACACAGGTAGAACTAGTAAGGTGTTATAATTTACACAGATTTGTTGGATTGACTCTAATTAGCAAAGTTCAGCCCCAGTGTAGGCTATGCCTAGATTAAACTGCTTAGTTCAATACTGAAAAAGTTGAGGTAAACTCTCTCATGAAATCTGAGCAGTTAAATAATTCTGATTCCATTCTACTCTTCCCTTCCTTTCTGTTTCACCACATCTGTATTCAGCTCAGTCCTCTCTCAGTAATGTTGACTTTGCCACTGAGCAGTTTGTCCCATACCACCTCATGGGCTCTTGCACCAAAAATACGGATTAATTTAACCCATAAGTCCAAATATTCCTCTTGTTTACAGTAATAAAAATTCAGTGAGCTGATATCAGGTTGCAGAGGGAAATGCAGAGTCCATACCATGATAGTCAAAGCCCATGCACAGTGTCGGGAGAGGCAAACACAGAAATACAAGCTGGGGTCACTTCTACTGCACAGTTTCTCAATGGCAGTGTGAATCTAGATGGAGAGAGGTTGCCTTCTTGTTCCATCTGCTCTCCTTGTCTCCTTTTGGCTCTTGAGAAAATTATTTCAACTCACATCATCAAAGCCAGAAACAGGTAAAAACTCCCAGCAGGTTAGGGAAGCAGGGTAATTGCATGTCTTAGCAGCTCCCTTTTTATAGATGGAATTTCTTACATTTTATAAAGTAGAAATAACAAAAGAAAAGCACAGCAAGAGTTGTGCTCACTAAATGTGAGCATCATCAGAGCATGGTGTAAACTGTTCTTCCTTGCTGGAAAAGGCAGCTGCTGGCATCTGTGTAGGGAAGAATCAAGACATACGATACATTCTCCTTTTATTCAAACCTAAGTCTGATGTCAGAGCTGGGGCTTGGTCCCTTTGGAAATACCAAGTTCATTCATATGAACTTAGTGTGGAACTGGAGTCTATTATGACACAAGGCCCTTAGTGTATGAGATATGTAGGAGCAATGTGGATATCAAAGTGAGGTTGTTTTTCCTTCCTCTCAACCTTGACTAGAAGGTAGAAGGGAAAAATTAATGTCCAGCTAGAGCCCATATAGACTGAGGTGGTAGATCAGTAGGTTCTATCTCTAGCAATTCCACCCTCTCAGAAACCAAGTGACACACTCCCATCTCAGTCAGACCTGGAAGAAATAACCATAGAGCTAAGTCAGGACAGGTCATCTGAATACATATCACAAGTTAAAGCCAAGAGTTTTCAATCAACAGCCCCTATGTAAATGGAAGAGTGCATTGGCTTCATCTATAGGGACATTTTCTTCCTTTCCTTCAACAGTCAGCATTTCCCAGCAGTAAAATGCTGGAGCCAAAGATAGTCTAAATATAATCAGAGAATCATAAAATGGTTGGATTTGAAGGGTCATTAAAGATCACCTAATTCCAGCTCCCCTGCCATAGGCAGGGACACCTTCCACCAGACCAGGCTGCTCAGAGCTCCCATCCAACCTGGCCTTGAACACTTCCAGGGATGGAGCAGCCACAGCTTCTCTGGGCAACCCGTGCCAGGGCCTCACCACTGTCACAGCAAAGAGTTTCTTCCTAATATCTAATTTATATCTCTTTCAGTATAAAGCAGTTTCCCCTTGTCCTGTCAGTCCATGCCCTTGTCAAAAGTCCCTCTCCAGCTCTCCTGGAGTCCCTTTAGGCACTGGAAGGGGCTCTCAGGTCTCCCTGGACCCCTCTCTTCTGCAGGCTGAACACTCCCAGCTCTCCCAGCCTGTCTTCAGAGCAGAGGGGCTCCAGCCCTCTGATCATCTTCATGGACCCTCTGGACTCACTTCAGCAGGTCAATGTCCTTCTTATGGTGGGGGCTCCAAAACTGGGTGCAGTGCTCCAGGTGGGGTTCACAAGAGCAGAGTAGAGGGGCAGAATCACCTCCCAGCAGCAACTAGTCTTTTATACCTCCTTCAGTGGTTGAGTTTGGATAAAGATACTGATCAGTATATTTATCTGATATTCAGGTCTTCCAGAACTTTTGTTTCCTGTCTTTTAATCAAGTAACATTTTTTTCCCTGGCTCTGAAGATCCTAGAAATATGTATTTCTTTTATTTCTTTTTCTTTTATTTCTTTTTCTTTTATCCCTAAATTTATTTTTTTAATAGCAGAAATAAAAATATTTTCTTCTCTCAGTTCTAAATGTTTTGCTTTTCTGTTTAATTGGGTATTGCTTTGTCCTGAGAGAGTGAGAGAGCACAACAGGGAAGAGCTCATTTACTTTTTCTGTACTGCTCATTATTTCATACACTTTCAGTGCAACTGCTTCATTTGTCCCCTCTCAAAAGCCACTGTTTTTACAACTGACAAGCTTAACTGAAGACATTGCCTTAGGTGAGAAAGATGCAGCGATTTGGTCACAGCATGATTAGAGACAAAAACCTGTTTTCAGTGACTGAAATCTTTGGTTTGCTGTCAACCAAGCAATTGATGTGTACTGAGCAGGCTCTTGCATTTTGCTGCAGGATGCTTAATTTTTTTCCTCCTCTGAGACAGGACCCAGACACATGGCAGCAGCCAAACCCTGAACAATCAGGCATCTGTGACTTTGATTCAGATTTATAAGGATATTTATAGACCTATAGATGAAAGATTGAAGGTTTTTTTCCTGCATTTTTAACTCTTATCCCCTGAAGTCTCACATTCTTGTGGTTGTTAAGAAAAGTTCAGCACACAAGGTCTTATTCAAATTCTTGTATACTACCTGGAGCCCTTTAAAATATTGTCTTCTAGCCTATGTTATTGGTTATTTAATTGATTAATCTAAAAGGGTGTTTTGCTTGCAAAAGCAGTAAATGGGGTTCAACGACACTTTGGCTTTTTTGGATCACTTGAAATGATAAAATATGCTCTCAAATACCACTCCCAAAAGAAAAACATAGCTGATCCTAACTGCTAACAGAGACGTTACCTGCTGCAGCACAGAAAACACATGTGAGACTGCTTGGGCATCTTTCTCTCTGTTGTTAAAGCTGCTTTTCTCCTTTCTGTGCCATAAGTACTCCTGTCTTCCCCATCAAAAACTGAAGATTTCACATGCATTCTTTGTTGTTGTTTTAATGTAGGCCAGGGACTTAATAAAGGTGTGTAGAACACTGACTGTGTCCCAGTGCATGGGACATCTTGGCCCTTCACTCATTTGTAAGTGAGCCTCATACACAGTATTGAGCAGATGAAGGCTGTAAGGACAAGCTTGTCTCACTGTTGCTATAATAGGTCTCTTTATAACTGGTGGTGAGGCACTGGGACAGGTTGCCCAGAGAGGTTGTGGATGCCCCATTCCTGGAGCTGTTCAAGGCCAGGCTGGATGGAGCCCTGAGCAAACTGATCAGTGGGTGGCACCCCTGTCCATGGCAGGAGTTTGGAAGTGGGTAATTTTTAAGGTACCTTCCAACCCAAACCATTCCATGATTATATGATAATACAGAACAGTGACTTCTACTAAATATTTTCTGCATTAAGACAATGATTTAATCCTGTAAGAGCACACAAGGTAGTTGGTCTGTGTTGTATCACTTAATGTCATGGCAAATTTGCTGAAACCAGTTATTTTATTCTAATAGTTAACTATTCTCACTGTTCATGTAGATATTTTTTTTCATCAAGGCTGCTGGAAGGAAATACAAAACCTCTCACTCTCTGTCTCTGTGCAGCTGGGATCAGCTTCTGGCCACAGCATCACCAGGAAAAAGAAGGAAAAAAAGAGGAGATTCTTTCCAGAATTAACTTTCCAGATTAACTCCAGAAATTTTTAGAATCCTTCCATGAGTAGCAGTGTGTAGAAACCTCATTGTAAGGACAAAGTGAGGTCCTGTACCTGCCTCCACTTGTGACTTACCTGGATGGCAACAACTTTAGAAGTTGCCCAACACTCCATCCCAGAAGGGGAATCATCCTTGTGCCTCAAGGCAGTATCTGCCAGCTTAAACTGGCACTGAGACCTACTTCCCCTCTTTCATTAGGAAGCACTGGATTAATAATTTTGTGAGTGAAACACTGATCTCCTCAAGTCTGGAGAACTCATGCTGTTCAGTCTGGTATCCTAAGACCTTGCCCTTCAGCTCCACAAAGTTAAGGCGGGGGGAGTCTCAACAGCAAACTCCAGCCCACCATGCATTGACTCTGCTCTTGTTCCTTCTCTAAGCAACTTCCTTTTGCTTATTCTGTCCTGTAGTCGTCTGGGAACATCAGGGTTGGGTGTTTGATGAAGGTTCATACTTCACTCTGCAAGTACTTTTGTCAAAAAAAGCTTTTATTGCAATGCAAAATATCTTCTGTATATGACATCTTTCTCCCCCCCAACCCCCTTAAATTTAATGAGTAATCCTTTCTGGGTTTGTACATTGTGATTCTTGTGTGTATGAATGAATATATATACATATCTATATATATCTATCAATCTATAGATATTATATTAATACAATCATATATAAATCTGGACCTATATCATTTTATATATACACGTATCACTAGATACATGTGTGTGTGTGCATATACATATATATACACATTACATATACACTATATACACATATATGCACACACATACATATGGTATAATCATAAACATCTCTTGGTTGTCAAGGGACTTTTCTTTAACAAAATAAGTTCCATCAGTGGATTTTACTTCTGTAGTGCAATTTTACAGGAAGTTAACATTTCCACATTCAATATAAAAGAAACAATATACATTTGAAAACGTGCCATAGGATTTTTAATGAAAAAATTAGAAAAGTGCATTATTTTACAACACTACAGTAAATGATTCTTTTTTTTTTTTTCTCTGTAAAGACATTGTAAAATATATACAGGGTTGCGTAGTGCATTCATTACAAAAGAAAGATGCAATCCCTTGCATAAATTACATATTGTACAGGGGTTCGCTGTCTACTTGGACTTGTAAACATTTGTGTGATACAGTTTTCATTCTTTAAGTAAGCTGCAATACATCTTATTTTCATTTGACTCTTGTTGCATTCTGACTCCAGTACGGCATTCTAAGGCCATATGTGAAGGCATCCTCTCCCATATCGGAGAAGGCCAGAAAAAGAAATGAAAACACAAAAGAGTCTTTAATTTGGTTCTTTGTAATCAAGTTATCACTGGTTTAATAAATCACATCTTGATACTTATGACCTGCTCTTTCTCCTTTGCTAGGACCAGCTCAACAACTATGTTGAAGTTAGAGGTCTGAAATGAGCAGAGAAAACAGTTTCCAGGAGGTAAATTCCCAGTGCAGTCTCCACAGCCAAGCAGCTCCTCTTTCTAGGTGACCATGCTCCTAAGGCTCTGTGTGCTGCACAGAAAATGTATCAACCAGGGTAGAAATTTAGAGAGTTTTGCTCTATCTCAGGCTGTTGAGGGCCTTTAGAATGCCGTCAATACACCGTCGGTAAGTCCGCATATGCACATTCAAAGAAGTACAAAAATGCACCAAAAAGTGTCAAGAGATCCAAAAGAGACATAGCATCAACACACACTCACAAACACACACATACACACACGCTTCTGTCTGAGCAGGAAGGCTCAGTCTCCAAAGTAGGATTCACAATTTAATTTCAACATGTATGTGTGTTTGGAAGAAATCCAAGAATTTCCATATAAACTCCTTAGGTCCCAAATTGAACACTTTTATCCCTGTTTCTCGTAGATGAACAGTTTGTTGAAGTAAGTAATTGCACCTTGAAGAGACAGTATCCACATTCTTTTGGCCTACTGGAAACAACTGTTAAGCCCCCCTCCCATTCCCCATTGACCTATCCAGCTCCAAATCATCTCCTTTGCCTTCATATCACCAGGATCAAAAGTTTTAGTCAATACTCCTCAATGGCAACAAACAGCCACACAAATCTTAACAAGTCAAGGGAAGAGGAAAAATAAAACATTTTTTTTTCTTCCACAGTTCACTCCTGACCTTGCAAATAAAAGAACAGATGGATTATTGGTTGTATAGCATCCTATAGGAAATTTACATTTTGTAAAAGAAAGACAGATCAGGTTTGCATTCTAAAGAATGATTCATTGCCTCATAATTTCTGCTTATTTCTTAGTTGTCAAAATGTTAGTAGTAGACAGGACTCTTTTACCTTTTTTCAGACAAAATTAACCCAACAGTACTTACACCAAAACTAACTTTGTGTGGATGAACAAAATTTGTTGAAGTCCAAAAGAGCATTGCTCCAAGTGGTACCCAAGAAATTACTTAATAAAGCCAACTGTTAGATTAACAGAGTCTTAAACCTCTTGCAACCTGGACACTGAGATCCCTCTCTTGTTATATGTGTATTACACATCTCCTCCAACATCTGAATAATATTCCTGCCCTAAGAATTTATACAGAAAGTATATGCCACAATGTGAATGTAGCTGAACTGTTGAAAAGGAGGTAAATGGCCATGAGAAGATCATTAAGTTGTGTTGAGAATATCAGTTGTGTTGGTCAGTGATGAACATAGCAGACTGCTCTACTAATCTTCCCAAGGGAGTAAAAAGGGCACTGTATCAATGATCAAGAGGAACTTCCTACTGCTGCTTCTGACTGCAGTGTCTCTCCATGCTGGGAGTTGAGAAGATATGCTAAAAAGGAGCAATATGACACCCATCTTTCCTGAAAAACATATGTGACAGTAATGAGTTTTTCAAAGAAAAGAGAAGTCACATGAAATATAAGTCACCATAGAGCAACTGGAGCTTAAATGCTGAGGAACTTTAAGGAATGTAAAGTGAAGATAAAAAACCCAGCTAACTGCATTGCTAAAAGGATCTCATATATATATCTTTTGCTCCACTTGGCCAATCTTTTGGAAGACAGCAGCTAGAGCAATCAGAAGAATTTGGTAAGGTTTTGGAAGCCTCAGTCACAAAGAGCTGTGAGCTGCCCCCCAGGTCCATTTGGATGACCTGCATAACAAAGAAAAGGAGATGTCCCCACTGCTACATGCTGAACAAGAAACTTCAAATCACCACATCACTGTTCAGAAGGGGTTCTGAGAAGAAGAGCTTCAAATCAGAGAGGTGAGATAAATGTGGTAGATACCTCAAAGGAAACATTAGAAGCAACAGTTACAGTTCGACCTGAAGGTGCTGCCCTCCATCACCATCACTATCAACTCCAGGCCAGGAAGAAATCCAACCTTTTGCTCTGCCTCTTTTAACCTTTTTAACCTCAGAAAGGGTCTGGGAGAAGGATGTGCCATAGCATCAATGTCCTCATCAATCCAGCTTGTGACACAAAAGCTCAGCTGTATCTTGCTCATTCCCCATGTGGTCTAGACATATTTGAACATGTGTTCAGCAACCTTCCTCCTAGAATCATCATCTGTTCCAGACAGCATAGCTGAGACACTTCAACTATTGCACTAAATAGGAACTAGAACCATGCTCCGTCCTGAAATACAGCCCCTTCCACATCCATCTGCATCAGTTTATCTAAGACACAACACCAGTTCTTTACTCTATAGGTAAGACAAAATCAGACCCAAACTTCAGAAAGGCATTTAAGCACCTATTTAGCTCAGGGAGAATTAAGAGCCTCACTGTATATACTGGATCTGAGCTAAAATCCCTTTCTGGATACTCCCAGCACCAGCTCCAGTCAACATGCCAAGATGATGCTTGTCAGTAGGACAGCTGAGACATGACCCCCGTGTCAGCAGTGATATTACCAAATAGGCCTTTTGGAAATCATTTTGTAGAGTTGCAGCTTCATTTGGGAGGCCAAAATCACTTACACAGTCTACTTCAGATAATCTAATTAAATACCGTTATCAGATTAATTATCCTCTGAACAATAATTATGATTAAGGAGCTGCATAGCCACTCTCTAGGGAGAGCCAGCAATAATGAATTAATGTTATTTCTCTAAAGGTCAGTTTTGGTGATATTTTGACATGTAGAAACTGTCCAAACACAGCCAATACAAAGAGGTTTCTTTGCTATATGGCGGCCTCCTGAACCCAGCTGGAGAAGCTTAACATATCCCAAGCATTCCTATGGCTTAACATTTCCCACACATTCTGGGGAGATACTACTGAAGTTGGGCAAGGATACCACAGTTCAGGTATTTCAGATTTGCTGCAGGCAATAGGAGGGTTGATGTAATTGCTCTCTTCCATGGAATAGGAGAGGGAAGATGCTCTAGAAGACACAATTTTCCCTACTTCCTCTTTGACACCAACACTGGTAAGGTAGTCTTACCAAAAACAATCCACTCCACCATGAACCAACCCTGTCCCATCCTTCCCACACCTCCTGCCATTCCTGCTTACGAGAATGCTGGCAGACAACTAGAAAATAGACTAAGCCCAGAAGGCCATGGCTCTTCCTTAATCTGAAACCTCACCACAGACCTAAAATGATTTACAGACAATGAGCCAAACCACTGTGACTCTTCCTGGCCATTCTCCCGATGGCCTTCTCCCAAACAAACACACTCCAAAGTTCTCCTCGCAGCCTAATGTGTTGCATTCCAGTTAGGGAAGAAGTGGATCTAACCTATGCAGGTTTATGCACGTTGCATTTCCTATTTAATTCCCCACATATTGTTTTTAATCAATCTGTAGATTTCTTTTGTCAGAAGTAATTAGAGTGGAATATTTCCTTCCGCAGGGTGTAGTTCTGTAGCATAATGCTTTTCCCTAATAGAAGAGGGGGGAGAGTACAGCATGTGGTGATTTGGGGGTCTGAACACACATCCATGAAATGCCAAGCTAATGAGTTAATGTCTGGGTGGAAAGCAGGGAGGGAATATGGAGAAAGCCAGAGGGTGGCTGTCTGTGAAATGGATCTCTCTTCTAGCCCCAAGTATAGCGCTCTGGATACAGCAATTACTGCAAGCTGTTCCACAGACCAGATAAACAATGAATCAAAGCCAGGCTAGTGGTATCAGAACTCATGCATGAAGAAGATGCATTACAGAGCATAGTTTCAATTATTATATTTGCCAGCTCCACTTGTGAATTCACCAGCTGTGATAAATGTTATCATCCTGTTGTTTGCTCTACATTTCTCAAAGTGAACTGAAAGACAACACATCTTGGAACTGTGAATATTAATTACCAATAAAATTGAAGTATTAATCTTTCCCCCGCCACCCCCTTTTTGTTCCTAGTCTGTTGTGGGTGTTAATGCATGGCAGCACTCCTTACACTGTCAGAAAGCAAGGTGAAGGAGAGCTTTGGGATATTTATTAATTACAATATTCACAGAAGGAGAGACAAATGAAGGCTGAAGGCTCCAGGGATAGTATTTCCAGCCTAAAATTAGCAGGCAGCTTTGAATGACTGGATTCCATAACACAAAATACAGCTGCATAAATCATACAGGTTTACTGTTGTTTTTAGGTCTTATTGCTCTCCCTTAGGTTTAGCAAACATGGTGAGCAGTAGTTGGAGACAATTTCATGGTATCTAACAGTAAATAGAGACTTTTTCAGTTTCAGTAAAAGGGCACAAATCAGGACTCACTGCATTGCACCAAATCATTTGGCTTCAGAGGAAGGCCCTGCCACAGCAGGCTTTAGATAAGGAAAGAGTTTGCTTATGTCCTACTGAGCTCTTGCACTTGGGAGCACCAGGAGGAGGAAATAGCATCATTAGCACAACACATCCAAGGGACCAGCACTGCTCAGGAGGGGCTGGCTGAATAAAATCTTGGTTTTGATGGAGATGGCAGCAAAAACCTGATTGGAGAATCAGGAGCTCCATGAATCTCCTTATCAGCAGCAGTCAGTGGAACACTGTGTGTCATCCTGGACTGAGAAGGGGACAGTCAATCTCCCAGGCTGATTCTACACACATGAAAGCGTAACAGTTCTTCAGCATCACCTCACAATAGTTTCAAATGGAAATAAAAAAAACTACTTCTGCTGTTGAGAACAATTTCTTTTTTCCCAATTTTCTTTTTACCTTCCTATTACTTTTTTTTTTTTTTTTTTTGTGAATGTTCCTTTGCCGTATTCATTAAATGCATCTTAAATAACTGAAAACTGCATTTTGGCAAAGGGCTCCATCAGTTTTTCAGGGTCTTAATTCATCTTCTGAGCTCAGTTTAACTAGTATAAGAGTCCCAGGGCACCTGCCATCTGTAATCAGTTTCTCTGTGTCCAGTGTCATTATTCCATTTGTTTCAGTTTTGGTGTATAGTTATGATGACTAATCCTTTTCAAATGCTTTATCTTGCTGAAGTTCCCAAAATAAAGTTCTATATCAGAGTTAGATGACAGGCAGACTGGTCAGAAAGGCAATATTTCCTTTTTCAGTTCTGTGAGTGCTACATATCTCTGGCTGATGGAAGTAGCAGTGGTGTGATTCTCGTTGTAATTTGTGCAGTACTCCAGTCAGCAATAGTGTCTTGCTGAAATATGCATGAAAAAGTCCATAACATTAGTGTAATGGACACACTCCAACACATCTCTCTCATCTGGCTTCCTCATAAAGATTTTCAATGACTGTCTTAATTAGATCCTAATATGAACAGGAATATTACATAAACTTAAATGAGGACATAAACTTCAGCTAAAAGCTACTTCCACCCAAGCCCTTGCCCTCTGGTCTGTACACACCAAATAGCTCTGGAACATTTTCATTCTCCACCTTGGTTCCACTGACTGCTCTTTTTTTTTAAGCTTTCAGCAACAAAGCAAGCTTCTTTTTTTTTTTTTTTTCCTGTGGTAAAAACTTTCAAATCTGTCAGAGAAAACAAGGAATTACTTTGTTTAGTCTGATTCACAATAACATTGATTATTGCCCTGGCATTTCACTGATCAAACCACTAGGAAACTAATGAGAAAATGTATAATACAGTAGATTACCTTGGTTACTTCCCTCTTTTCTTTTTCTTTTTTTTTCCCTTTTTTTTATAATGTCTACTTTGTCCTAATGATCCATTACAGAGGAGTTCAAACAGAAGGCTGTTTCTGAAGGTCACTGGACACTTCTCCATTCATTACCTAGAAGCTATTTTGGACTCTTGAAGTAACATCCACACACACTTTCTTAGCTGTCCCGTTACAGTCATCCCTGTAAAGCAGACACATGTACAAAGTTCTGGCAAAGCAGTGCCAGTTAGAACAGTCAGGATCTCCCTCACACAGTAACGAAGACCAAGTGGAGACTTGTGCCTGCATTGTTCTGTTAAGTTTCCTCTTTCCTTCTCATATCACAGCATGCTCAGTCAAAGCTATTTTGGTGCTTCACTGATCAAAATGATTTTTTCCTTTGATGATAATATGAAATATGATAGGATAATAGGGTTGTTATATAATCAAAGTCGACAGCAGGGAGCTAAATTTGTGTTGTTTTGATGAAGAGCACATTAGTGTGACATAAATAGACTAATCTGATTTATTATTATTATTTCTAATGCTTAATAATAGGGAAGTGTAGGGGAAATGAGACTCTGGGGAATGAGAGTGCATCACAAAGTGATAGCAGACATTAGGATGTCTAGTCATAAGCAGCACCACTACTACCTGCTTCTAGCTTAATTTCAAAAGAGTGAGTAGCGAGCAAGAGAAGTTGTTCTGAAAGAAATAATGTCTTAAATGGAATAAAACAAATCATGTACTAGAGAAAATATTCTGTGAAAAGCAGTGCTGTGGGAAGAAAACTTGTTCATACAGGGCAACAAGAAGTCACAGATGGAATTGACAAAAGCCAGCTCACCTTTCACTGACTGACTTTTCATGTCTAACTGAAAAGCTGGGATTAACCTGGGACAAAAGCTTCCCTTTCATGATAATGTCTGTTCCAGTTCCAGACAGCCCACGTCAGTATTCACACATCAGTCAAGAACCATGAAAATGACTAAAGAGAGAGGCATATTTTGCCTGCTGTACTGATGTCTACAGTGTGATGTCTACCGAGTTCTTGTGCCTCTGGCTGCTCACAAAGCAAAGTCCTGAAGGCATCTCCTTGCAAAGGAAAGAGTTTCTATACCACTTCAAAATCCCATGTGTAACAAAAACATAGATTGGACAGAACTGTGGGCTCTTCAGTTAGAAAATAAAAGTAAAAAACCATTTGAAAATCCCAAGGAATGCAGATACATTCAAGCAAAACACTTTTCCCCATACACACTCATAGCTTTTAGACTTAAAAGTATGGCTATGGACATCTACTCTGGCTTCTTCATAGCAACATACTCAGATTTCTTCAACTACTTCTATAAACTTCAACTAAGCTAAAGCAGAGCTAGTATAAAGCCACTGAGTTTTAATGCAAAGACTCTAAGTGACAGATAACCCATGACATGCTGAGGTAAGTTTCTCCCCTGGTTAAATATCTCATGTATTAGAATTACTTTTTATATGTGGTTCTAGGGGGAAGATTTAGTAACAAATCAAATAGTGTATGTGGAGTTTTGAACTTCTCCAGTTCAACATGATTTACAGGACATTTAAAGATTGTTTTTATATGCAGTAGAAATAGTAATTTCTTCTTAAAGGAAAAGAGAAAAAAAGGTTAACCAATGTTTTATAAGATGAGACTGCTTTTTCTGTTTAAAGTTTTTATTAAAAGTCCTGTTACAAAAAATCTCCTTTGCCAGGCAGACAGAATTCCACCTGACACATGATATAGATGTGTAAATTCCAGGCATATGTTTTCTTATATCCACAGTAGCAAAAGAGATCTGCATTTATTTGCACTTCAGGGATGACACAGGCAAAGATGAAGCAAGTGAATTGGGAGAGCACTGTGAACCCCACGGGCTGCTCTCACAGGAACGAACTTCTAGGTGGCAAACACTAGAGGGGGTTTAACACATCCTGAAACTGCTTTTTTAGGTATGTTTACCTTTTGCCATCAGCATTTGCCTTAGGAGATGGTACTGGCAGCACAGTATTAATGCCCCCAGCAGGCCCCACACATTACTCTGAGAAAGTCCATCCTCATCCATCCTCATTAAGAATCCTAAGTTGTTTCTTCACTAACCTTAATGGAGGATTTCATGTCACATCAATTTCTAAGCCCAAAAGAAGCTACATAGGGGAGTCAAAGTCATGGATAACTTGCTTTTCATTTACTTGTTGAAAGGCAGACGTGGAGAACATGAACATATTTGATAGTTAATAATTTAAAGCCAAGTAGAAGAGAACAGAGGAGGAATGACATTCCTTATTTCTCTCTATTAATGCTCTTTATAGACACCTCTTTGAAAGGATATCAACATCCATCAGCACACAGAGCTCAGAGCTGTGCACACACCATCTAGTTTTAAGGGTAAAAAAAAGGATTATTGCTTTTACACTGAGAGCACAAAATGGTAGAATCAGCAGGAGGTGATTAGTGCCAAAAAGAGATGGGGTTTGTATGGCAAATTAACACAGAAAGCAATTCAAAAGATAGAATTAGATCAGAGACAAAGGTGCAAGTTTATAAAACTCCCAGTCCTGCACTTGTAAAATCAAAGATAAATCTCCAAAAGCACTAAATCCCATGTAATCATTGCAAATTCCTATTGTCTTAAAGGGGAGCTGGATTAGGCCTCTAATTCAGTTCTGTAAAGTCTGTTTGGTCCAGATGAACAACTGAGAGATGGACAATGTCCAAGGAACAGCTCTACAACGTGGTCTCAACATCCTCCACCACAACTTGCCAAGGCAACCACTCCCACTGCTGCCCTCCAAACACTGGAGTAAAGCTATTTTTGCCCATTGCTGCTAAATGCATTTTGCCTTTGCCTAGCAAAAAAAGCAATATCACATCTAATCTCACAAGTTCCCAGTGAGCCAAACACAAGATACTGTCCCTTGAATTCTTCCTGAGACCAACAAAGGCTTTCCATTATTTACAAATCAAAAGCATTTAGAGACAATCATCTTTAGTTTTTATTTAAAACAAGGAATGCCCTGTCACTATTATATAAGAAAAAATATACATCCTCCTATTTATACCCATCTTAACCAAGCATTCCAAAAAAATATAATTCCTATTCATGCAGGTAATTGCTGCACAAAATAATAATAATAATAATAATAATAATAATAATAATAATAATAATAATAATAATAATAATAATTTATAAATAAAATAAAAATAAAATACACTCTTTTGTTCCAACAATTCTCCCAATTTATCTTAAAAATTCCACTTGCAAATTGTTGGAACAGTTGAAAATTATAAAATTAAATATAGTTAAATCAATAGGATTATTTGCTTTTGATTATTAATTCCATTGCTAGTTTTTCTTGTGTTTTTTATTATGCATACCAGTTTTACAAAGTGCATGCTTTATTTTTTTTTTTTTAAATTTTGAACTGGCAAGCTAAAATGATCCATCTTTTCCTGCCTTTTTTAAATGTTAATACAATCTAAAATCTAGCATTAAAAAATTTATCATGATACACCTGGTATATTGACTGCTTATGGCGCATGCTTGTCTTGGCAAAAAAAAAAATCCCCAAACCAAATTGGTTCCCCTCCCGCCCTCCCCAATACCTTTTGGAAGCAATCTAAAAAGCAGGCTGGAACACAATTGCTTCAAGGGCAAAAAAAAAAAAAAATAATACCTGATGCTTTAATTTTTTGTCACATGGCACTAGTCGTGGAATTGCACACGCACACACACGCGCACGCACACCCGACACACACACAAAGCACACACCCACGCTGCAACCTGCTCGTGAGGAAAAAAAGTTTGTTAGGTCAGGAGTGCCAGTGGCACATGAAGGCTCCCAGCTGTGTGTGCAACTTTGGATTTGGTACCCACTTCACGTCACCTTGAATCCTCTGACATCCACCGAGGGGGTAATGTAAGGCATACTTTGCTGGAACAGTAATAATCCATGCTTCATGCTCAAGAGCTGAGTCTCAGAGGAGGACTGGCTTGCTCTACTCCCTTTGGCCTCACTCTGCCTCACTCAAGGAACAAAAAAACCCGAAACAACAGAGAAGAACTGGGGAAAACAAGGAAAGCAAAAGAAGACAAATCCCTTTAAATGGACTTTCGCCGTTTCATCAGCCTGTGGTTATCTGTAAAGCTGTGCAACCCAGGTGAGATGGAGCTGACAGGAGATGGGAAAAGGCTGTTTTTTAATGTGCTTGGCGAGATCTCCTCTATCTTGTAAGAGATGGAGTGAAAGTACTGGGGGTTCAGCTTTGAGCTGAAAGAATTTTGGTGGGACACCACCCGGCTGGTGTACTCGTGGGACCTGTAACACATGCAGGAACAAACTGACTGAAGGTCTGTTACTTCGGCCTTGTACCGTGGCCGACCATGCTGGGAGTCCTCTTGGATGTGGATAATCATGCTGTTGCGGTTCCCTGCCAGGGACGCCCGTTCCTCAGCATCCCGCCTCTCATCCTCACTGTTCATGGTCAAGAACCTGAGAACAACCAGATTTAGAAATGCCCCAATGACTGTCAACCCCACTAGAATGTACATAAAGCTAAAAGCCACGTAGAGAGGCTTCTTTTGAAGGGCCCCTTTGGTCTGCAGGGCCACATAGTCTCCAAACCCTATCGTAGTCAATGTTATAAAGCAGTAATAGTAAGCATGGAAAAAGCTCCATTCCTCGTACTGGGAAAAGGCTGCTGCTCCAATGCAGAGTGTCCCCATGCAGGAGAAGAAACCCACAGTGACCATGTTTTCCATGGAGACCTCGGTGCTCCTCATCCCGCAGCACTTTTTGATGCGTTTCAAGAGGTACTTGACGAAGGTGTTCATGCGCTCGCCCAGGCTCTGGAACATGACGAGTGTCAGTGGGATCCCCAGGACCGCGTAGAACATGCAAAAGGCCTTCCCCGCGTCCGTCCCTGGGGCAGCATGTCCGTAACCTGGGAGGGGGGATGAAAACACAGCACAGTCAGCAAGGCAGGTGATGAACACAGTTCCCCCTTCACGCAAGCCACGTGAATCACAGAGGCTCTGATGCCACAGCCAGGCATCACATGCAGTAGTGGAAACTTTGAAAATAGATGGACTTTCCCACAGTGTTTTTGAGAGTAGTCCCTGTCCCAAAACCAGACTACACTGATGGCATCCAAGTTCTGTGTCTGCTGATAGTGTGGAGCTACAGCATCCACAGATGCATGAACCAAATAAATTCCTTTTTCAAACTCTTCCATACTGAATAAGCCTTTCTCCTTGACACCTTATGAAAGTCATTGCTGTAACACCATAGGAATTTAGGGATTTAATGTTTTTTCTGTCTTTCATTACTGAAGAATAACCAACTTATCAGCTTGTTCCATAGTTTTGCAGCTTTGACAGAATTGCAAAGGCAATTTCATCAGGATGTTAAACTAATCCAGGAAAAAGGATGTACCACATTTCACAACATAGTTTACTGATGACAAAATCATAGCTAAGCCTTTATTCTAAAACAAACCATAAGTGGGGGTCGGTTTTGAAATCATAATTTCACTTTTTCACATCTCACTGCTTTAAAAGTCTACATTTCCTATAGCTCAGATTCTAAGGAATGGTACCAAAGTCTCCAAAATGGGATGGCTAGGACCCACCGGGCCATGTGGGTACCACTATCTAGAGTCCCTTTAAAGTCAGTGAGTACAAATAATATACTTCACAAAGGCAGCTCCTCTCATGTACACAGAGGTGTCTAAAACAGTTAATAAGTTATTCTCAGTAGACAACTATTTCTCTACAATCATTATAACAGAAATCTTGGGACAAAACTCAATTTAAGATTAACATATCCAATATAATATATTTGCTGCTGTGAATTTGTCTAATCCTTTTTTGAAGCTGTTGACACTGCACACCTCCTCAATCTCCTGTGGCAACAAATTCCAAAAGTTCACTATCTGCTATGTAAAAAAGGTATTTTATCATTTCAAGCAGATCTCCTTGTCTCAGCCAGTGCCCCTTAGTTCCAGGACTGAAGTTCTACATCTACCTTATCTACCACCTTCATGACTTCAGCTAAACTCAGCTTTATCTCTGCTTTCAGTTTTTTTCCTGTATGAACTGAAGACACAGCTGTTTCAGCTCATACAGCAGAAGTCACATTCCCTTGAACATTTCAGTGTCCTTGTCCGGATCTTCCATAGCTCTACTATATCATTTTTGAGTCCAGGAACCAGAACTCTGCATACCCCTCATGATGTGGATGCACCACAGAGTCTGCAGTTTTAACTAGAACTAAAACATGAACACAAGGTAACCTTCAAAATGTACAGCAACAGGGAACAAGGAGAATAAAACAAGAAAGCCAGACAAGGATTCCCTCCAAAAAGCAACAGGTATTTCCATAGCTCAGTTGCTAGTTGTTGACAGACGGTTGGGATATAAAAACGAATTTACAAAAGAAGCACATAACCCAAATAGGAGGTTCTTTTTTCAGGTTACAAAAGTAAGAGATTCACCTCTTGTATTGAGCCAGGTACCCTGTTCATCATGAAAAGCACTTTCCAAATTACCTGGAAAGGGAAGTGTCTTCAATAGATTGATGATGGGTTAGTTCTACCTGACTGTCCCTCAACAAAGCCTATAATTGCCTCTCATTACTAAGATCAGCTTTCGAACTACAGGGGTGTTAATTAAACCAGGAACATCTTCCCATTTTATAGCTTTAGTTACAGATGATAAAGAGAAGGAAAGCTTCAGAAAATGTGATTTTCCAGATGGCTGCAGAGATAGCAGTTGGTGGAAACAAGTTTCACTTTGAGTTCTAAAAAAAATGATTGGGGTGAAAAAAGATTTCTTTTGATATCACTATATCGTTCTCATTAAAGATATCCCCAGAGACACTTTAGGGAGATTATAAAACATTAATATTATGTACTTACACACTATCTTACAATTGAATTTCTAAGATTTGTCACAGACTTTGTAATTATTTATCCCATAAGATAGGAATATATCCATATCCCTGTTTTAGAGATAGGGAAGCACAGACACCAGTAGGCTTTTATTTCCCTCCAATTCACATAGGTAGATAGAATATCCAGAAATTTTTATTTCTATTCTGCCCCAAGTCATTCTCACTTTCCCCAGTATCAGATAAATGTCTTTTACTGTTTTCTCACCATGAATCTGTGGTGAAGAAAGGACTTTATTCATGAAGCTAGTATAAGACTTTAAAAATAGATTCATGTAAGAGGATCAGAGTCACATATTTCTTCTGTACAACACGGTTTTAAGGAATAGGCACCTTATTCATTGCCTTCAACTCCCTGAAATAAGGGAAAACAAGGGGAAGTACACCAAAGAAAGACTTAACTCTCCATTACTTAAGCATTACAGAATCTATCCAGCAATATAGAGAGTAACTCATGGAAAGTAAACTGCAGCAGAGAATGCTCTCTGAAATTCAGTAAATTTCAAGTCTAGAACAAACCACTGTCTTCTTAACATCAGAAACTGCCTCTGGGAAAAATGGGAAGGCCGGTAATTGTCAGAAGAAGAGGGGCACAAGGGATCATTAACACTGGGAAAGGGCACAGTTCATGGGGTCGGTCTCCAAGTAGTTTGGTTTCACTTGCGTCAAGTAAAGGCAGAAGCAACTGTCTTAGGAGCAGATTCCAGCTACCTAAATTTATCCTAATTTCCTCTACACAATGCCCCTGCCCTTTAGCAGAATATAAAGAGATGACTCTGTGTCATCCATAAGAAACATGAAGTTTAAAGAGAAATGGAAAGGTTAAGTGTGACACCGGCTTTTCTTTCTCTTCTGTGGTGAAGAAGAAAGATTGAACAGAAGACCTTAGAACTGAGTACAGGAAATGTATCCCCTTACAGGCCATGGAGCTAACAGTGAGAAAGGTGTAGATGGATTTTTTCATTGAACCACAGTTAGGTAAATACCGTCTGTACTACTCTAGTAAGAGTTTGCTGAGGTTCCCACAGTACAGCAGTGTGACCACAGCAGGCAGGTTTGTCTGAAATTTAATGAGATGTAATTTGAATGACCAAGGAGAGACTAAGTAACTCTCATCTTGATTGCAGGCAATGTCATCAGTTCTCTCTCTGTCTTTTATAACCCCTCCCAGCTGCTTAGGCTTTCACAACAGAGCTCATCTAGGTTGGTACCTAGAAGAATAGCTTGCCAAGAAGAAATGTTGTGTCTCAGAGTGTTACTCTAGTTCTGGATTGTGGAGCACCAATACACCACAAAACTCATCTCCTCCCAGTCAGGGAATGACTGGGATACAGAAATCAAGCAGAACTGCAGGAAGGTGTAGGCAAGGGAGGAAAAGAATCAGACTGTAAGGGCTGACACCAAACGGGTACTCTGTAGGGGTCATCTCTGCCTTTGATTTTTCCAGGCCTTGTCCATTCTCTGATGGGAAACTCTCAAAGACTGCGTTCATCTACATGTGATTCTAGAAGAAAAAAGGAATACTATTTACTTGTTTGCCAGAAGCCATGGAAGTCTGAGGAAAACCCACTCAACCTTCTTCAAAGCTTTTTTTCCATGGTGCCTTTAAGACAAGACACAGAGTGAAACTCCTCATTACAATCTCCATGAGGTCCATTTGCAGGGACAACCCCCACAGCTTTCTCTTGCTTGTACAGGGACATTGTGCTGGGGCACCAGCTCACTACCAGAATGTGCAGAGGAGAACAGTGCGCAGTTACCCTGAATCCAACAGTGACCACAAGGAAGTGGCTGAGGAAGAGTATAACTACATGTGACTTTTTCCCCAAGAATTCATATATCCAGCTTCATTATTTGGTGCTCAGGGCTATCCTAAGCCAGACAGTGTTTGGCTGGTTTCATTAACACACCATGGATTTCTCTTCCATGAGCTTGGGCGTTGTCCCTTCAATGCGTATGAACTTCCAGCACCTGCAACATCCTATGGCAAGAAGGTTCATAGATCAGCCATGTGTTCTTTAAAACAATGGCTATTGCTTCTTTACTTCTCTTTCATTACTATCAGCTGATTGGTAATGGTATCTCCTCCTCTATGGAAGAGATCAGGAACAATCATTCCCTATTCCCCTTCTTTGTGCCACTCATGATTTTATAGATATTTTATAAAAAAAAAAATGCTGTGTTGCATTCAGGCCCTAAGCAAGTATCCCTGACACTCTGTGGCCTCGTGTGGACAGACCAGCTTGCTTATATCTACATCACTGATCTTTGCACCACATTCAGCTGCAGGGTACAGACAGGCCTGCAACATCTGCCTTGTCCTCCAACACAAATTCTCTGGAATAACACTCTGCTTCTGGGGCAAAAAGGGTCTTGATAAACAATTTCATGCTATTGCAATGATGTAGACTGTTGAGAATAAGTAAATCCATAATAAAATTAAAACATAATGGGAAAAAATTCTGAATACTTTCAGTGTGTTGCATCTACACAGTAACCATCTCCAGCACTGCAAGGCAGTATCTACTCTAGAAAACTAAACTGGCCTCAAGTTCTGCCAGGGCAGGTTTAGATTAGATACCAGAAAAAACTACGTCATGAAAAGGGGTGTAAAGCATTGGAACAGATTGCCCAGGGAAGTGGTGCAATGTTCAAAAAAATGTGGATGTGGCATTTGAGGACATGGTTTAAAGATGAACACAGTGGTGGTGCTGCATTGACATTTGGACTTCACGGTCTTAAATGTCTTTTCCAGCCTTAACAATTCTGTGATTCAGAGGATGAATTCTACCACCAACCCATGATGGCTCACTCTTAAATCATCAGCACAGTTCCCATTATCGCTTCACCCTGGAATAACCAGCACTGTCCCAGACAAAGTCCATGCCTGATCCACCCATGGAGGTTGACATTGGCCAGGGACAACTGCAACTAAGCACCACGCTGGGGTAATACATGTGTTCAGCTGTTACTGGCCTTCTCCATGACATCTCT